CCTTCTCTCTCGTTCGCTCGCTAGCAAGCAACGTTTCTATTTATTTCTCACCTCATGGTTTATGTCTATCTTTGTCTATATGTATGTCTGTCCACATGGACAGTAACCCTTACTTCTTTTCTCTGTGAAGACTATATACAACAGAGGTGAAATAACGTGATATTATTGGTCTAGGAATATTTTTTCTCACTGGCGATACGAATACCTGGCATTGATAACTTTGTAATCATTCTTCGAAACAGATAGCCATAAAGGCCAAGCGCTCAAATCAACTCGAATTTGCGCCTGTAAATGCGCTCTAATCGAGTTGTCACTAATGTCAGCTGCGCTGAAACCAATGTTAGCCACATTTTTTATCAGACAATAAACTGGCCTGTTTAGTCGGACCTGTCTATAATGGTCACTTAAGTTCACCGATAAAAGAGACTGGTATAAACCTGTGACTGCTATGGATAAGGTCAGAGATATGATCACTTAATATAAATAGACTTTACAAAAGTCAAAATATAGTTTAAAATCTGAAATCTTCATTTTATCTTTTCGTTTCATTTCCAAGACCTTTTTTATATTGATTGAAAGTCAGTGGCGAGAAACTTGAGACCATTTATAGCTTCAAATACCTTGGATCAGTCGTCTCAGACGAAGGCTTATGACCAGAAATTCTCCCCAGAATCGCGCAAACAACAGCTGCGCTGTCAAAACTGAAGCCTATTTGGAAGGACAGAAACATCACACACAATTCAAAGATCTGACTGATATGCTCACTGGTCATCTCAATATTGTTATATGCCTGTGAGTAGTAGTCACTGACAGCAGAATTGAATAAAAAGAATTCAGACAACAGAGATGGGATGTTACCGCAGACTCCTTGACATCTCATACAAAGACCACATTTCAAATGCTGAGGTACAGAAGAGAATCACAAATGCAGTGGGGCGTCATGAAGATCTTCTGGCCACAGTGAAGAGACGAAAATTAGAATGGCATAAGCATGTCTCAAGATCCACTGGACTTACCAAAACAATCCTACGAGGAAGGAATAGAAGGAGATGGGAGGACAACATCACAGAGTGGACAGAGTGGACAGGGAAGACGATGGGTGACAATCTGAGGAAAGCAGAGGACAGAGAGAAATAGCGAGAGCTAGTTGTCAGAATGCGGCGGTGTCCCTACGGTTGTCCCAGCCACGGAATAGAAGAAAAAGAACGTTCGCACTCAGTCTGAAGACGGGTTGGCGGAAAATGCTTGTAGTAATAACCGTTATGAGGAGGTTTTGATGCGTACTTGTCGTGAACATGACTGACCGCGGCTGCATCGGACAGGGACCGCTATTGATAATTTAAAACTCAGGAAGAACAATAGGGTGTCACGGAGAAGTTGCCGTTGGTACAGGCGAGCGCCGTGGAGAGATCGTGACCGTTTAGGCATGTTGGACAATGAAGTTCTTGGCGTGACCTTTATCTCACCAGGTGCCACTATAATAGGCCGACATGACTTACTGGCATTGGAGGCATTGACTTATGACAAGTGAGAGTATAATTTGTACAATCCTTCGTTTGTTGTTTGTGGCACCTTTTTGGTCTATCAGTCGAAACTAGGATAGGAACCACCTGCCAGCTACGAAAAATGTTCTTTTCTGAAATGTTTTTTGTCTGCTTTTCCTGTTCTATAACCCTGTTCTGTCGTCTGCTTTCCTCTCCTTTTTTGCGGGGGGGGGGGGGGGGTGCTAGTTGGATGGTACCACTAGTATGCCCTACTTCTATTATTTCCCTTTTCTTATTATCATTTTTCTTTTCGTTTTCTTTGTCTGTCTGTCCTGCTGTTTATTCTCTAGACGGCTTTTTATGTCATGTGTTTCTCTTTACTGACACCCAAACTAACGAAGTGCTCGTTCCCTGTCCGTCTGTTCCAGCCCCCCACAGTACAACCCGTTCTACACCAGCATAGACAGCATGCCAGAGATCAAGCCGCGGCGGAAGAGCATACCCCTCGTCAGCGACTTGGTAAGAACATCCGGCCACGTCCACTTCCTGTCCTGGTGTCCCCGCTCTCTGTACGCTAGGGCTGTGCCTCAGTCGGTTTCCGTAATGAGTTGTCTCAGTTCTGACATCTAGTGTTGGGTATCCGGTTCTTCCGGGCGGCTCTGTCGATGCTATCGATATAACTGGTAGAAAATGAAGTCCGTGCATACGTATTATGTACGAAGTGTCATACTGTCCACAATGAGAACCGTTTATAAATATCATGTGTATATATATATATATATATTTTTATTTATTTTTTATTTTTTTTTATTTTATTTTATTTTTTGGTGGGGGAGGGTCATTTCTGACGAGGCTAGGGTTAATTAAAAGGTGCAAGTTTTGTTCTTACTGACAAGTGATGCAGTGATTTTCTAATACTGCATGTAGTTCATTTCATACTGTCTGATAAGAATGAGTAATGATCGATTTTACTTCTGACAGACAAATTTCTGCAGTTACCCCCCCCCCCACACACACATACACATACACATACACACATGCCCACATACTGCTTCTCCTCCTTCCCCTTTCACCCATTTCCTTAGTTTATTTACTGGGCAGGCAAAACCAAGTGGGTTTTTTTAATCTTTTTTTTTTTAGGGGTGGGATGGGGTTGGGGTGGCTCATGGACTTATAACAAACTCAGTACGGACTTGGAATATCGACTGTAGATCTGTTACGTACTCAGCACCTGTATATTTTCAAAGTGTTGACTGAGGCACAACCCCACTGTACACCCTTTCCCTTCAATCTACCACATGCAAACAGTGCTTCAGCCCCCCGTCAGTATGTTTGCAACGCTAAAATCCGCAGATTAATGTGTGCTTTTCTCTTGGTTTGCTCGTAAGCTTCAGTATTATCCATTCTATCTACTCTGATGTAATAAGCCAGAAGTCGGGAGAGAACCACGTGACCGCTCTATAAACCATGTCTGGGTACCCGGCGGTATGGATGTACTGAGGTTCTGCTTCTACTTACCAGTCTTCAGAATAATCCATTAGACTCTTCGTTGTATACGGTTTTACAATAGAAATGAAAATTAACCTATTCTTTGTCCTTATACTACGACACGGTCCACTGCACAAATGATTGGCATTTAGAATCGCTTAAAAGGATTTACCTGCAATGCAATATCTTGCGCTTCACTGAACTTGCTAAATGTGGACGGTTTTTGGATTCTGAACCTTTTCACGGCATTGTCTGAAATTGTCCCTCACTGGGAAAATGGGATTATGTAGCAGGATCCGCGGCGAGATGGGGAATTATGTTCCCTAGCTCGTTCTGGAATCCTCTGATTTTGGGAGATGAAGCGGAGAAGGAACATGGGACGCCCTCTGTGACTGTCTTGTATGTCTGTGTTCTCTCAGGAGGCATTAACAAGATCAGAAGTTCTGCAATAGTTGCGTGCCGTTTTCGTTGAGGTGTGAGCGGAGGACAGGAGGGTCTGCGTGTGTGTGTGTGTGTGTGTGTGTGTGTGTGTGTGTGTGTGTGTGTGTGTGTGTGTGTGTGTGTGTGTGTGTGTGTGTGTGCGTCCGTATGGATGCCTATTTGTATGTGGATGACTGAATGACTGATAGTGATTTTCAAGATTTTTAGGGATTTTGCACCCGATGTGTGTGTGTGTGTGTGTGTGTGTGTGTGTGTGTGTGTGTGTGTGTGTGTGTGTGCGCGTGCGTGTGTGTGTGTGTTTGATTGTGTAGGTGTTGGCTATATTTAAAGATAGATACAAACGAATTACATTTATGATGTTCTTTGAATCTGTCATCTTCAGTGTGTACCCCTCTTCTCCATAGAGATATCGACACTGCCAATAAAACGTGTATTTTTGTGGGTTACTTTTTTGTTTTAAATTCGAGAAACCATTAATTGTGTCTACTTAGTTAGATTTGTTTTAGTCTTGCTTTTAGAATAAGTAAAACTTTTAGGTCGTGAAATGTGTTTCATGTCATAACGTCTGCAATTACTACTTTTTTCCCCAATTCACCCAGGTCTTGAAGGTGACGAAACATTTCCCTTTTTCACATTAAACCGAAAGTTATTAACCTTTTCAACTCACTCGAATGTTTTCTTTTTTCTCCTCATTTTAAACGCGTCAAAGTTGTAGATTTAGTTTTACTCTTCATATCTGTAAAAGTAGAGTTTGTTTATGATTTACTCTTCTCATATTGCTTTTTGGGTCTGACTGTCTTTCTGTTGTACCTCGTATGTGTGTTTTACTAAACATAATACTATTGTGACTGGGTGTCATTTTTCTGCCCATTCTCGTACTAACTAGCGTCTAGCCTTTAGTAGAGTAATTGCTCTCTATCGTTTTCATATCTCAGTTGATAGGTGAAAGCAGCCCTTTGGCGCCCCTTTTTGATTTGTTTAAAATCCTGGTGGAGTATATCGTTTACTTTTGTTGATTTCCTAGTAGAATATTATTATGCATATTTCCGATACATGTTTTACTATTCCTGATTTAACAATAGTGGCATGCTTGTGACTTGGCAGGTTTGTTTCAGTTTCAAACTTTTTCTTTTCTGAAATTCCGTCCAGGTTAACTTGCAGTTCATTTGGATTTCTCCAGTTCAGCAAATTGTTATTTTTTTCCTACTTCATTCTCTCTCTCTCTCTCTTTCTCTCTCTCTCTCTCTCTCTCTCTCTCTCTCTCTCTCTCTCTCTCTCTCTCTCTCTCTCTCTCTCCCTCTTTCTCTTTCTCCCCCCCCTCTCTCTCGCTCTCTCTCTCTCTCTCTCTCTCTCTCTCTCTCTCTCTCTCTCTCTCTCTCTCTCTCTCTCTCTCTCTTTCCAGCTCATTCATGCTTCCCGGCTAATGTCTCTTTGGCTCTGCGTTATGCATCCTTCCTTGCGTAAAATCTCTCTCTCTCTCACTCTCTCTCTTTCTCTCTCTCTCTCTCTCTCTCTCTCTCTCTCTCTCTCTCTCTCTCTCTCTCTCTCCCGCCCCCCACTTTCTGGCTGTCTTTTTTTCCTTTCAGCTATCTATCTGCTAGGCTGCCTGCTTGCCTACCTGCTTGCGTGTCTATCTATCTGTCTGTCTATCTGTCTGTTTGTCTTTCTGTCTGTCTGTCAAATTATTACGTTTACTTACAACTTTTTTTTCCTGTTTTGTCTGTGCCTGACTTAGCTTTAGTCCCCCAGACACACTAACATAATATGTTGTGTTCTGTTTGTTTTTGTAAACGTAAACTTCAGCACTGTGATGATGTCCCATGCCAGAATGGAGAGAGAGAGAGAGAGAGAGAGAGAGAGAGAGAGAGAGAGAGAGAGAAAGAGAGAGAGAGAGAGGGAGGGGGGAGAGGGGGGAGGGTAGGAAAGGGGAAGTGGAGAGAAACACGAATGAGAACGCTCCTTTTAAAAAAAATAATAACTTTTGTTTTACTGTTAACAAATTTCAAACGTTCATCTTTTTATAACATGTTCATATTTTTATACGTGTGTCTGAGTGTGTTTAGTTAGTGTGCATTTTTTCCTGGTGTTTTTTTTTTTGGTGTTTTTTTTCATTGTCCTGATTGTACGATTAACTTAAATAAGTACTCTTCTGTAGTTTATTTTGATGTCCTCATTCACATTTTTTCCCAGACTCTCTTCAATATTTACCACCTTATGTTTTGGGTCACCTCTCCTTGATTTTTCTTTTCTGACCCGGCAGTAGTTTTATTTTAAATATATTAGACCTGTCTATCGGCTCTTTCTTTTTCTTTGGTGCAGGAGCTCTATAGATGAGAAATACTACCTCATGAAATACGTTTTTTATTTTGGTTCCAATAAGCCCCGACTGACGGGCGTTAAAAGACTTCTTCTTACACAACTATGTTGATGAATTACGTTGTCACACCTTTTTCTCCCCTTACCTGCCACCACACTACCATTTTCTGTTTTCCACATCCTTGCATTTTTTTTAAAAAGTTTTTTTTCTTTCTTTCTAAAAAATAGAAATCCTAGCCAGGAGTAAAATAGTGTCCACAAAATTATACAGAGAAAAGGCTCAACAGGATAATATTTAATCGCCTCCGACTCGTCATAATTTTAATTTTTGAATGAGGTTATGTTTTCTACAAGTTACACTTTGTTGTTTTATCCTCTTGTGAGTTTTCTGTTTCCGTGAAGGTGTTTGTTTTTACCCATTTCTATGGGGGTTTTTTTGTTTTTCATAGTCCCATTTTTCGTATGTTTGTCAGTTTGTACAATAACGTGATGTCCTGACACTGTTTATGTGTATCAATGCACGATTTACTAACAAGTTTCGGTTGTTACGTATGTTAATGTTTGTCTGTCAGATCATTTCGATACTTTTTAATTCAGCACATTTCGGGTTTGTGTTGTTTTTTTTTGGTCCTTTTCCTAACGGAATATTTTGAAAATTCAACTTTCAAATGTGTCCAGCGAAAAGATATGTAGTTGAGTAAAAGAAAGTAAATTCTAGAATTATTCTTTTTATCTTTACAGTAAACATGATATTACGTTGTCTTTCTGTTTGATGATTTTGTGATTGTCTTTTTTTTGTATGAGCTAGTGTGTCTGTATAGGCACTAAAAGCATGTCCGTAAACAGCATGTTTTTCTAAAAAAATTGTTTTACTGTGTTTAGATTGAAACAAGTGTTGGTGTATCTTTGACAAGTGCCCGTGTATTTTTTCGCCATCCTAATCAAAATGCTTTACGATTACATAGCCTAGCCATCGAAGGCTTTTGAGCAACCCCGGAAAGGGACAAATGCAAAATGACGTCAATATTTTCTGCTTATATTCTGGTATTTTCTTGTGAAAACCAAATTTCCTAAAGTACTATCCACCTTTGGTCAATTTCGTCTTAAACGCCCGAGAGCCGTAGGAACAGTTAACCATCGAATGTTTTGCCTAGCCCGTGACGCACTTGCAGACGAGAATTACAAGTCGTCTTAAATGGGAGGACGTGCCAATTTTGACCAATCATCTGGTTGTTCAGACTGTGTTTTAAAGTAAACAAACTCACGCGTCACTAGCATTTAAAAAAAGATTTCTTTGTATAATGACGATGACGTAGACAGTGTTGGTCGCAGATATCTCGACTGTACTGATTTAACCATCTATTCTTGTCCCGTTCTTTTATTGACTTTCCAGAGTCTGCCTCTTACGCTATGTACCCTGTTGGAACATAGTTGTCTTTAATGAACAAGACCTTAATGCAGCTCCAAGTTTTCTAGGCAATTTGAATCAAGATGGAAGAACGCTGATGGCTCGTTATGAGATAATTTCCCTCTCGGAAAAGAATAATTACTGAATACAAATTGTGAAGTCCGTTCTGTGATTGCTGCAAAGTGTGTTTGTTTTTGGTTTTGTTGTTCTTGTTGTTGTTGTTTTTGTTTGTTTTGGGGGTTTTGAGGTTGTTGTTTTTTTAAAAACAGGTTTTGTCCAAAAGTCTGTATCCTTTTAGGGTTGCAAATGCTCGTGGGCCAAACTAATAGTGTGCTTGTTTACCACATGAAACGTTATTATTGTAACGGATTTTAAGTCAGTTAATGTGTCTTCTATGTGAATATTATTGCAAATCTGCTCTCTGAGCTGATATACGATAACATTTGTATTATATGAAATATATTCCTTTTCAGCTGTTTTAATAAATTAGAATCTATGAATTTAATATATTCTTGTAGCGCATTGCTATATTTTAATGGGTGTAGGAAAAGAGGACGAAAGCAGAGGGACGGACAAAGATCGAGTCCCTTTCTGTAACTGTAACGTATGTGCTTCACTAGTGTGGCCTGCACGACATACGATTAGGCCATAGCGCTTATTTTAGTTCGTAATTATTTATTGTCACTTCATAATATCTTTCTTCTGGGTGTTTCCCATCGGTTGTGGCTAAGAGCTGTCTATTTTCTCAAGATCTTTTGTCTGAAGAGGTCATGACAAGAATGTCAGCACCTGTTTCTCTCCAATTCATAGTATCGATATTTCCATTTATTGTTTTCGCCCATCATCATCATCATCATCATCATCATCATCATCATCATCATCATCATCGTCGTCGTCGTCGTCGTCGTCATCATCATCATCGTAGACATCGTCATCTTCATCATCATCTCCATCAACTCCATCATCACTACCACCACTGCCGTCATTAATATTTGTATCATTGCTTTAGTAGCTGTCCTTGTGGTTTTCCTTACTATTATCATCCATATTAAAACAGTTATAGCGGAGTTCTAACCTATTACTTTTGTGAATCCTATGTCGCCCCGCCCACTCCCGCTGACATGTCCCCGCCCACAGAGCCTAGCAGCCAAACGGAATGCCGGTGTGTCTTCTGCCATGGTGGCACGACAGTCACTCAACGACGAGGAGCTGGTGAGTCTCACTAGGATTTCGATATGTGTCTCGACGTGGTGGAATCAGGCGCTCGTCAATTTGAGGGCATATGGGGTTATTGGTATCTTAAAGCCTGTTCATTAATCTTCCTTTTGGTGGAAAAAATATCCATCTCGTATGTTGAATAGAAGTCGAAATATTTGCGATTGAAGGAGGTCAGGGTCGCCTGGTTTCAGGGGTAAAATTTGCGAGAAAAAGGCGCCACAGTTTGGTAACTTTCATTGCCTGAGACTGCTTGGAAACTGAAAAAAAATTACATTTTTTGTGCCTTTAATCAATGTTTTTCAGGAAAATCCACACGAAAATGTGTTTTTAAATGGAAATAAACGGTGTTGAGCCAAACAACAAAAACAAGAAATTTAGAAACAAAATGCCCATCGGCCCAAAAAATGCCGATTTCTTTAATTTCATTATTTTGACGAGCGCCTGATTTCACCACGATACCTCACATATTATTCCTCCAAAATGTCACATAAAGCACAATATCACATGGGTGACTTGAGAGTGCCACTAGTAGCTCCTACTTCTTGACTATTGTTGAGTCGATGTGCTGCCCTTTACTCAAGCAAGCAAACCAACACAATATCACACACCTGTTCACATAATCTCACATATCTTAACGCAGTTTCATAGCGCCCTGCATTTTGAGCTTGGGTTATTATCTTGCTCAAAGGCACACCTACATGACCTCTCCACCCAGACACTACGTCACCGGCACGTACATTGTTGTTCAGCCTGGACGCGAGTATGAGTTTAAAAGAACATTACTTATCGAGTCGTGCTGTTTGGTTGGTCAATGACCCCATGCAATTTTATCGACACTAAAAGGTTCCATCAACGTCCTCCTTGAGAAGAACTCATTTAGATCGGGTTTTGATGCCGTAAGACCTATGACTGGGTGACCTTGGTTCGAATCCACAACATGGAGTTCTTGGTCCCACCTCTTAGATAACCTACGGAATACAAAGTGGCTTTGAAACCCAATATGGCTCAATTCAATGAGCAAGGGCTGCAAAATCACGTATCTCACACGGTATTCTTGCATTCGACCTCTAGTTATGGTTCAGATGAAAGTGTTCTGAGCAGGAAGTTTTTGACAATTTATTTTATTGCTTTTCATTTTGATAAGTCCTCTAGGATTTTGAGGCGTCAGGTGGGTAGGGATATATAAATCAACGCACAGAAAGGTGCAGCCCCCCCCCTCCCCCACTTACTCTGGTGGGAATCCACATATAAGAATATTGCTCTGATGTGGTGGTGTGCTGTTAAGTTATAGTCCCTGCCAATTTTTTCAAACTATAAAAAGGGGGATGGAGAGAGAGAGAGAGAGAGAGAGAGAGAGAGAGAGAGAGAGAGAGAGAGAGCAAACACTCTGTGTTTGATGTCACTTTAAGTCTACTTAAGGGGTCATGTTCTCACCCTCGAAATAATTTGACCCGCCATCTTCCTTTCCATCCTAGAAAATGCACGTGTACAAGAAGACCCTCCAGGCCCTGATCTACCCGATCTCGTCCACGACGCCTCACAACTTTGTGGTGTGGTCGGCCACCTCGCCTACCTACTGCTTCGAGTGTGAGGGCCTCCTGTGGGGGCTGGCAAGGCAGGGTGTTCGGTGCACAGAATGCGGGGTCAAATGTCATGAGAAGTGCAAGGACTTGCTCAATGCAGACTGTTTGCAAAGTGAGTAATATCTGTTGCTTTTATTCGAAATGGTGTTCGGGTCGGGCTTTTTTGTGTTTACCCTAAAGTATATAATTACCTTGTATCTTGAATTTGATTAATACGAGTTTTCTTTGGTTTTCCCCCAGGCCGCCATTCATATTGCTTTTCAAATTCCATCGTAGCGCTCCCAAATGCATGATCAGTTTGGATTAATCTCATTTTGTTCGTTTATTGTACCTTCTTTATTTCAGTTGTGAATTTGCTTTTTGATTTTGCACCTTTTGTAACAAATGGTGAACAAATAGTGTTCTTTTGAACTACAGTCTAGAAAAGATCTTATGATTTCTAAAACCTTATAGTCGGAATTCACAACCTTTCATGGGCGTTAAGAATTTTGTGCGTGTGCATGTGGAAAGTGTGTGGGGGGGGGGGGGGTTCTATTCCCCTGAGAACAATGTTTTCTTCTCAAAAGCAAGAATTATGAAATGTCTGCTGAGAGGTAAACTGGAAAAAAAAAACAAAAAAAACAAGAAAACAAGAAAACCTATCATCATGTCCTAATTATCTATGAAAAAAATGACATGTGACAATGTTTCAGATCGCTGGAGGAACGACAAACCGATCGGCCAACTGACCTATGACATGGTTAAAAGATACTTGGGTACATTGAGTATCACATCTTTGTGGCCACTAACCGTAGTATAATAGTTTTAAACAACTGAGTCTGATCTACCCACTATTTTGACCACCTCGTTGACAAAAAAACACTCTGTAACCACTATTTTGACCACCTCGTTGACAAAAAAAGCTCTCTGTAACCACTATTTTGACCACCTCGTTGACACTTTCGCATCTCTAAGCGGCACGTAGTGCATAATTTCATAACTTCTAGATAACTAACCAACTCTTTTTTCGAAGTACGTTACTGCAACTCGTGTTCCTACCCTCCCATGAGGACAGTGGGGCAGGGCAGGGGCTCTATTGGTGACCTCTTCTCTTTGATGCCTCTCTGTAGCCTTCTGATACTGCTTCTCGGTTTCTTTTCAGACCACTTTAAACTTGTGTCATATTTTTTCTTCATTTTCCGCTGTTTGTTGCCCTCTGTTCTTTCCTGTTTCTGTTACTTCCTAGTACTTTTCCCTGCCGTCTCTTGTTTCCTAATTTTTCTGTTTTCCTTCCCTTGCCCTTTCTTCACCTTTTTCTCTATTCTTTCCTGGCCCTCTGTAAGATTATTTCTGCTTCTTTTCATTCCACATCTCAGTCTTTTCTTTCTCACTTACTTTTCTCGCCCTGTTTTAAAAAGCTTTTAGTCGACCCTTCGCAAATTTGTTTCGGTTTCTGTCGTTTTGGCTTTAGCTAGCACTATACACGAATTTTAGCAACAAAATTAGCAACAAAATTAGCAACTATTGGTTTTGGCCTGAATTTTTCAGATTCTGTACCGAGTGGGGGCTCGTCTTTGCATTCATTATGAAATCAAAGCAAGCCCACACACACACCCACACCCATACACACACACACACACACACACACACACAAACACACACACTTTCTCTCTCTCTCTCTCTCTATCTCTCTCTCTCTCTCTCTCTCTCTCTCTCTCTCTCTCTCTCTCTCTCTCTTTCTGTTGCACCTCTCCCTCTGACCCATTCACTTTTTTTCTTTTCAGTAAAACGTTCTTTGTTAACTACATGTATTTACCAAAGGTACCAATCTCGATACACATTAATGCTAAAATATGTATGTCTTTCTCTCTCTCTCTCTTTCTCTCTCTGTCTCTCTCTCTGTCTCTCTCTCTCTCTCTCTCTCTCTCTCTCTCTCTCTCTCTCTCTTCTCTCGCAATTAAAGAATCTGTCAGCAGAGTCTTGATTCACATGATGCCCCTAAGGGGTAATTTTTCACTATTGCTATTATTTTTTAAAAATTGATGAGATGCTTCTGCCGGAGGGCAAAGAAAAACATAAATCATATCTGTTCGGAACAATGCCATGACACGATACAGAGGCGTTTGCTGTTATTGTGTTATTCTATGACTAGCTATTTTTAGTTGACTGCCCAGATTGTTCAAGTTTTGTTTCGTTTTTGTTTTTTCTTTTCTGTTTTTTTTATTTCTTATATATGGCTGACATTATGATTCAATACATCTGGATTTTTAGATCAAATCAACAAATCGAGTTAAGAAGACCGTGAATTGTTTTTTTTGTTTCGTACATGATGGTATGCTTCCAAGTACGAAGCTCACATAATGGATATGAGAGTGCTTGTGTATGTATGTGCGTGTAAGTGTATGTGTGTGTTTTGTGTGTCTTTGTGTGTGAGAGAGAAAGGGGGGGGGAGTGACTGCTTGTGTTTGGTGCACGGATGTGTTGAGTGTCTAAAAAAACGATGACCCATTTAACTGGAATTAAGTCGTCTTTTTTTGGGACCAATTTCAACTAAATTTGAAACAAAAATTTGATTGAAACGAAAAACTGAAACTATCTATAAATATACCATCATGCCATGTATTTCTTCATCGAGGAGCAAATCTACACCAAACTGGCGATGCCTAACAAACTCGGGAAATGTGGTAGCTATTTAAAATGTGTATGCTCCAGGTGTTGAGCATTTCAAACAAGCTCGAATAGGCAACTAGACATCTTGAATAACATTGTGGCATGTTTCTAGGTCAATTCTTTGCACCTCGTATTCAACACTGAGTTTCAACTTTTCGATTGCATGTAGGTTGTTTCAGTAATTTTTGTCTGCCAAAAAGCCTCAGAGGAAATAAATGACGTGGTTCAAGTTGGAGGAACGCGGTGACAATTGGTCGTTTTTAAGGATAAGCGGGCTAACCCAGATTTCGGCCATTTCCTGAAATCTTGACCTACGTCAAAAGTGGGCATTCCCCTACCTAAAGGAGACGTTTGGTTTCATTGGTGTGTATATCTGTTTGGTTATAGAGAAAACTCTCATTGTCTTTTAAAGAAACTGAACAAGGGGCAAAAACTTTACCTTCGGTTTTCTCAAAACAGCATTTGTCGGGATAGCCCCCTTGTGCTTAAAAGCGACCTATTCATTTGTAAGCTTTCCGTCGTATAAGGCATGGCCCAAATATTCCATGCATCCATACAGCCACTCTTGATTTGTCGGGTTTGGCTACACCATGCTGGAACCAGGCCTCCTCAACAGCATAATAACCCTTTCTCCTCTTAAAACTTTTTCGAAACATTCTCAGTTCACTGAGATATCCTTATTAGGTGACGGTCGTTGTTTTTACCGTCTTTGTTATGAAACCACCACCGGCCGATCATTCCCCTGTTGCTGAACGTTGTTAGAAGTATAGCTTTGTGTTGTACCCATTTGGGTTGGAATTTTTTAAAATTTTGATATTTCTCAAACACGTGGATTGAGTTTTTTATTTTATTTTATTTTATTTTATTTTTTTTTACATTTTTTTTTTTTTTTGCATATTGATAAATTCAATGTCAGTTTGGTTGAATTAGATTTGTTTGAAGATTGGATGTAATTTGTGCAAAGATGACCGAGTTATTGCAGTTTAAATGGGTCCCTTTTTATACACCCTGTGTGATCTCGGTTTAAAGACATCATGTACAATGTCACCTGACTTTGAAGGTGTAAATTGATGGGAAATGACACAGTGGCTCGCGTCCGTTTCCCCTTAAATAAATGCGATATAAAAAGATGTCATTCATATTTCTGAGTAATAATATATATTAGTATTAGTACATGATATTGATACGCAGCTAATTTTAGGTTTCGTTGAAAGAACAAACTTACTTAAAAATGTTGTGCCCCTATGAGAAGCAGAAAAAAGGGAATGTACTTTGAAAAATACATTATTCTAATGTTTTGTTTATATCATTTTTTTGTTTTTGTTGATGTTTGTTTTGTTTGGAGGGGGATATTTTGGGGGGTTTTTTAAGGTCTTTTCGTTTTGTATTGTTTTTGTTTTTAGGTTGATCGTCTCAAACATATCATTTTTCCGTGTTAGGTTAAGTTTATGTGCCTTAGGATGCCATTATTACAAGTGTGTTGATCACAGTGTGCAGTTACCACATACAACTGAGTTTACGCAAGGCTTCGTGCGTGGTTTCAATAGTGCATTTGCTGCAGCTGTTTCGTGCGATGTTCTTGCTGTTGTCACCTGTTTCCAACATGCTCGTCATGGCTGCTACTTAACTGATGTCGCTGCTGCTGCTATTCCTGCTGCCGCTGCTGCTGCTGCTGCTGTTGCTGCTGCTGTTGCTGCTGCTATTGCTGCTGCTGCTGTTTTCTGCTGGTCCTTCCAACGTGGCAATTGTTCAATAGTGCCTGTTTGTGTTGTTACTGTTTCGACTGTTGTCTATCTTTTCTCTGACATCATGGTAATGCCGCTGCAACTGCCAGTTACACTTTATATGTCAGTGCTGCTGCGCCTGTTGTTGTTGTTGTTGTTGTTGTTGTTGCTGTTTATTGCGGGTGGGTGGGTGGTTGGAGAGCGTTACTGATAGGTCCTACTTCTTTTCTTTCCCTCTGTTGTTTCTTTCTGTCTGTCTGTCTTCCTTTTTCCCAGCACTGAATGACCATCATTGTGTCGATGTGCTTCTCTTTACTCAAACAAACAAACAAATATTGCGGGTGGTTGGAGGGCACCAATGGTGGGTCCTACTTCTTTTGTTTTCTCTCTGTTCTTTCTGTCTACTTGTCTCCCTTCTTCCCTGCACTCTATGACTGCTGTGCTGATGTGCTTCTCTTTACTCTTTACCAAAGTTGATGTTTATCGTAACATTCGTGTTCTCCTACACCACCCCGCCACGCTCCACACCCGTAATATTAATGGTATGTGTTGCTTGTTCCAGATGTGGTCACTGAGTACATTGATAAGTGATCAGGTTACCCTTTATTCGAGAAATACCAGTAACGCGAAGACTTGTATAAGCTACGTTCTTTGTTCTCGTGGACGTTTAAAAGTCACACTGATTAACCCGTCCGTTCCTGATCAATGGTATTAATTAACCCTTTTGCTCCCCCCATTGTTATTTCTCAGGGGCTGCGGAGAAGAGCTCCAAGCACGGCGCAGATGACAAGGCTCACAACATCATCATGGCCATGAAAGAGAGAATGAAGATTAGGGAGAAGAATAAGCCTGAGATTTTCGAAATGATACGGTAAGCCTCACGCATCCTGTTTGGGCATCCCATTAAATGTTGTGGAATGATGAGAAAAGTAAGACATAATTACGAGGGTCGGGGGTTGTGCAAGGGCTATCGGATTTACCAATTCTATACACTAATCGAGTTGCGCTGTTATTGCTGTTTCGTTGTGGAAATAAGTTATTTCTTGTTATATTGTTGTATAATAATGTGAATGCGTTGGGATTTTTTTCTTGTAAAGACTGGGCTTATGTTTGACCAAGGATTTGTATGGTAGAACAGTTGGTTGTCAGAACTAGGAAATCAGGCTTGCACAAAGGGCAGCACCCGAGTTATGTGCACACCATTGTAATTGCGAGGATATTGTCGTTTTCTCCTTTAAATTATTTGATTTCTTTCATCCTTTATGGTCTTTGATCATTGGTCATAGCGTCGCCTTCCACTTTTATCAATCCTCGAGGAGAAATATTTTGGTTTTCCATCGCTAATGTGATACATTACAGGTATAATAAATAATTAACTTAACATTAATTATACCTTATAGATATAGTACCTTACAAATATTCTCACATTTTTTATGGTAGCCACTGTGCAGGTTTGTTTGTTTGTTTGTTTGTTTGTTTGCTTTTGTTTGTTTGTTTGGGGTTTGTGTTTGTGTGGGTTTGTTTGTTGGGGTTTTTTTGGGGGGAGAGGGGCGGGTGTTTGTTGTTGTTGTTGTTGTTGTTTGTTTGTTTGTTTGCTATTGTTGTTTTGGGGGGGGGGGTGTAGTTTTTTTTAGGATTACCGTGTCTAGTTCAAGAACTCAATTACTTCTAATTACCACCTACCTAAATTCCCTGTCGACAGGATAATATGAGCATGAAATAATGAACCAACCGGGTCCAAGATTGAAAATGATTGAACACATCATAATTTATTGAGCTTCTCTGGCTAGACGCAAGTCACCAGTTCCTACTGAAAACCCAACGAACAAAATTTCAACTTACTTTGTTTCTTCCGATTATAAATACACGACAGTGTTGGTTCCTAGTGTATATCTCAGTGTGGCATGCTCACAGATAACCTGCTAAGGATGCAGCCCAAAGCGTGTGTGAGTCACGTTTTTGCCCTGGTTCCGGGAAACAAAATCTCATCACCGAGTCTAAATAATCTTTCTTTACTTTTATTGTTCATCTCTTTGCCCTAACCATCTTCCTTCGGTGGAGTTATTTTTCTTCTCAAACCGTCTGTATTTTTTTAAACGTTAATTTCCCTTACGGGCAGTTTTTTTCTTCCGAGTATCGCTTTCATCATCATGTCCATTCATGCCATGTTTTTGTCTCTCTACGTTTTATCCGTTTTCTTTTTTCTCCCCCCTTTTCACCTCAGGCGACATCTCCTATCCATTTCCATCTCATTTATTGTTCATTTTTGCGCTCTTTTTTTCCCTCGCTCCGCCTCTTTGTCTTTCTATTTCTCCAACCCCCCCAAAAAAAAAACCACAAAAAAAAACCCCGCACATACAGAATGAAAGACAGTGCGTGTAAGCTTACATGAGTTTCAATCGCCTTCCCCATCTTATATTCTCCACCTTTTCTTTAATCGTTTGTTTTTAATCCTCTAGGCTTGGTGCTTTTATTCCTGCATTCTGAAATCATATGCGTGATGTCATCTTCATATTAGAACTTACTTTTTGTTGTCAGAATTTGACGTTTTACTTCTGGATAATTCGATAATATTATCTCTCCGAGTTCTGCCAAACCCTAGAAGTACATTTGTACTTACAGCGATGCGTATTACATTAAACTGTATGCTACAATACGTTGTTGTGTGTATTGTGTGTACACACACACACACACACACACACACACACACACACACACACACACACA